AACTACCATGACCCCACTGTGTGTCATATTCGATCCCTTCCACAGTACTCATCTAACCTTTTATTCTCTTTAACTTCTGTGAATCATTATTCTGTTCCCTCTCTCGACATTTTGTCAATTTGATGTTCCTCCTCCTCTCTGTGAAGTCCGAAGTCAGATAAAGGGCTAATGATAACTATCTAAACGCCTGTCATTTGAGATAAATAAATAAATCTTAACATGGGAAAACAGTCTCGAATCTACACGTAGATTTCATTCTCCCACGTTTTTAAACCCATTTTTTATCTCAAGTATCAAAGTTGTCAATTGTGAACTCTTTCTCATGGAAATGAGTCCTTTCACTTAATCTAAATAAACACTCGCTACAAGTATCAGGCGACCTCAAACTTACATTTATTCTAGTTGAGTTTCCAGCGCTCCTGTGCATAAGATATATGCAGTAAGGTATATTGTTGAGAGATAGGGTAAATGTTAACTTTGCAATCAATTCTATAAGCTGCCGATTCGCAATCTCCAAATATCATCACGGGTATCGCATCCATGAAATCGGGAATGAAGTCGCTAAATTTTAAAGTTTTTACTTAATTAGACGGCGAACTCTTCTTCATGGTTTGTGAATCCAATTCAAGCAAGAGGCTTTTGATAACTTGGAACCATTTACCACTTCTTTTCCTTCTTATTTCCTTAGCCTTAGTAGACTTGTTCCATGATTCATATACTTTTCAATTACCTAAACCTTGTGAAGCTATGCTCGCAATGGCAAATGCAATAGTACTTACCCAACCCCTCCCCCTCTCAATTCACTATTAATTCCTAATAAATTGGTCTTTTGGTGATGCAAAGTTTAGTGAATTGTCAAATGTACAACGCGAAGATTCAAAACAAATTTAATTAAAATAAAATATTCTGTGATCTGTGCTATGCTAAATTCATTTTGGGAAAGAAACGGTATTTGAAATGACAGACCAAACTATTAAATCGACCTTGACCAATAAGCCCAAGTAGTCGCGAATAGGAATAGATTCAAAAGTCGTGAAACAACTTCTCCCACTTGGGCATTTGAACATTGAATCAAAAAGCAGTGTAATAGTTCCTCGATGTAAGTGTTCATTTCTTGCATTTCGAATAAAATCTTTATAAATTCTTTTGCTGCCATTCATTGTCAACGTCAACTTGATCTTCCTCTCTCAGTTCACTTTGAACCGCCTTCTTATTTCCTTAGTCCAAATGCCTTTCGATCATGAGAATTGCCAAATTATTTAATAAATTTATATTAAAATTAAAAAAACCAAGAAAGACCGATAGATAAAATGAAGGGTTATATAATATCGATTGAAAAATGAAAGCTATTTTAAAGTCTACATTTTTGGAGAATCTATAATCCCGATAACCTCCAGAAATGGCACAAAAATTATTCAAGTATAAACAAGCAGATATTAACATCTGTCGTAGAAAGGAAAAGAGACATCCGATTCCTCACTAAACAATGCACTTTTTAATTATTACAAAAAATAGTTGGTGAACAGCCTGACTTTTACTTCTGATATTGGATGCCAATTCACATTGTCTTCATCTATGGGGGTCTATTCATAGAAGCAATTCAAAAGATGACGGCAACGTACCCACCTCGCGACAGAACAGAAAGAGAGAATCAGTGGAAGTGTAAAGAAAATGGCTCCAAGGAGTTCAATTAAGAAAACTGATCCACAGATAAAAGGTTTGAGAAAGGAGTCATACTTAAAACGGAGTGGTGGTAAGAAAAAAGTTTTAAACAAAATTTTAGATAAGTTAAAAAAGCGAGCACTTTCTCTTTTGCAGTTCTGCAAAAACAGAAAAACCACTTCATATTAAATTCCTATTTTTGAAAACCGTTGCACTATATTTCCAAAAATGATATTAACTACCAATTTGATGGCTTCAATTCATAGGCGCTGGTGTTAACTAGTGAACAAAACGAATAAACCTCTGAGTTTGGTGAAATTAGCTGGTATGAAAGCAAGCACCATTGTTGAGTAAGCTAAAGTATAATTTAACTCGTTGTCGAAAGAATTTGTTGGTAAATTCTCTTTCTAATAAAATAAAGGTTTGATCTTAAGGTCTCCGAGATCGCATATTACTTAAACAATTAGGAGCTTTGTGATTACCCTCAGGCTACTTCAGACCCTCCACCAAATGCCCAATATCCGAGATAAGTCAAGGTCTCTAAGAGGGTGCAATTAAATTAATATATTTAAGTTAATGCTCCACCAGTGTACTTGCTAACGTGTGATTGAGATACCTAATCAAGTAAATACACGAATGTATTTAAAGAATGTACTTAAACGCATAATCAATGAAAAAAAGAGCATTTGAAATATTAGCCAAATTTATGCCAGGAATAAGTAACCGGTCATAGAAGGTCAGGTTTCTTTGATGAAGTTTTGCAAGAAGAAATGAATGAATGTAGTAAGTCAATGAATACCGCATCAAGTTAAAAGTCTACTAGGCGATTTTCGATTCCTTTCGTTAAAAGATACTTTCAATGTACAACCACTGATTGAACTTTACACTAAATTTTGATTGACATAAACATCGAAAAATGCATATTATTAATATTATGATATGTTTTCTTTCATAAATATGCCCACAGATGAACACTATATTGTTCTATTTAAAGCAGCAACTAATTGACAAGATTTTCTATGCTAAAGAAGTATGATGGTGCGTGAAATTTTGGAGATTCTTTCAAACTACTCTAAATGAAAATAAATATTTTTTGAAGGAAGCAACTGAGCCTCTTCTTGCCTAAGTTGTTTCAAATAGCAAAAAAATCTCTGCTGAAAAATAAAATTTGAAAATTTGATAGCCAAACTAATCACTACTGCACTCAGCAGTCGAATGTTAGGACATATTATCGCTATAACTCAGTAAGTGGCTATGATTCAAATCCGGATCCATGCACACAAAGACATTGTGGAGGGAGCGGCCGTATGTTCAGTGGACTTCTCAGTTAGTCAGCTATTAAGGTTCATTAAGGTTAGGTTAATTGTGTTCATTTAATAATCACGTTTGCTATGAGCCTTAGCCCACTACTCACTAAACTATACTCACTACACCTCTGCTTCGCTATGACATCGATAAAGTTAAACTTATAAAGGGCCTTTCACATTAGGAAATTTTGACATAGAGCTTACTAGGAATAAGTCTAGCCTTATTCATGAATCAATTCGCTACAAAGTCTCACAGATGGACTCAAGTCAACTACCCGCCTTATAAATAAGAAAACACACCTACTATGTGCATATTGCTTTAGTTTAGACAGAACTGCCACCATTTACGCAGATCTCCGACCTTCAGGCGTCAAAAAGCATTTTGAAGGTGATTCAATTCATTCATCCTAAAAATATGTTAAAAATTCTGAGTCGTATTTGATTGTAGCTTTAATTCGACACTAATGAAACTAACTGCTAACAGCAAAAATTAATTTATGCCTGTTTACTTTTCACTTGTAAACTTTAGGCATTCGATTTTGTCTTAATCTACTTAAGAGCCTTCCAATAGAACAAGCATATGTCAAGCATGTTTCAACACAAAGGAATCCACAAATTGGAACAAAACCACACCTACCCACTTTTCTTAAATGAACTTCAAGCTAAACTCCAAATTTCCAGTTCAATCTGTACTGGTTCGGGAAAATAACAGTTAAATATGATCCATTAGAATCGACAGGTAATTCGCGAATCCACAAACAAGCACTCGCTCTAACCAATCTCCGCATTAAGCTCAGAAAATCAAAGATAATCATTCACTCACATAGCCTGGGCCCAAAGTTAGAATCTTTGAGCAGCTTAACACCGCAAATTGTGGTTGAAAATTAATCATTTTCCGAGCATGTCTTTTTGGAGGATCTTAGATTTTCTAAGAACCGAGAAACCGTGTGGAAATTTTTCCACTTACCATGAACACAAAGACTGGTAGGATGCTTGGTTGGGACGAGAAATATTAAATGTATATCACAGAGCCTAAATAAATGAGAGGAATGACTTTTTGTGTGTCAAATTAGGGAAAAAACTCATAGATATTTGGACTACTAAATAATATTGAGGCCTATATAAAACTTCCTATCGCATAATCAGTTTAATTTTAGATACTAAAACTGTGGAAAACAGCAAAACGATAAATAAATTAAAAATATTAATTTAATTTCTACCAACGAAGCAAAACACATGGCCAACTAAAAATTATAACTTCCTTAATACTTCAAAATCAAACTTGAATTAGATATTTCCATCAATGCTTAAATTGCAGAGACTTTTGCTTGTGAAGTTTTGCGGATTCTTGGATTCTTCCAAACCTCTTCTCAATTATGGAAATAAAATCACATTTCAAAGTCATTTATGAAACTCTTTTAGAGGCTCCAATTCCGCCAAATTTCTTTCACGGCTGTTAGTCAATAAGTTAACATCCAACTTCTCATGAAATCGAACATGGAAGGAATTTCCACTGATTCCCAAACTATGAATATGAATCTTTCAAGCATCCGGAATGGGAGAGTAGGGTAGTAAGTGGGTGCTAGAATGTTAATGTCTTTTAGTATGATTGAAATGAAGTGATCACTGTATGCAATGCTCACCTCTGCTGGTTTATGATTGCCAGGAATGCTAGACCATCGCGCCATGAACTTGTGTAATTCGTGATATTGATGCCCTCATATCTATAAAGTGGAAAAAAGGAATTAGGCACTGAGTGAAAAAACTGAAGAACAGAAGGCGCATAACTAAATTCAAGTTACTGTTACGCGGATTTTCTAACCAATGAAAATCATTTCTGAAAATGTCTCCCATTTTTTCTACTTTTAACTCCCTCAGCTTTAATGTCCTTCTAAAAGAACTAGTTTATTTCCCATTGCAATTGCAAAAGGGCAAACAGTTGAAAATGACTTATCGCTACGGCCGTGGTGTCCTGTTCAGAAGTGGGGGGNGGGGGGGGGGGGGGGGGGGAAAGGGGGGGTGAGGGTTAGGCCAGTTTCGAACTTACGACTAGTGCAATTAAATATGAACTCGAAATATCGGTTGTTTATTAGAAGAGTAGATCATACATCCTAATTTTGGGTTCCTTGTGAAAATGCTTCTTATTAAATTTAACTTTTCTAAAAGTGAATTTGATGATTAGTGATTTAGTCGTTACCCGACCTATTTCAGTGGATATAGAAAGCAGAGCTTCATAAGCTTGAAAACATTTTAAGGACTATATTTGAGTAAATTTATTGTGTATATTTAACTTGATGTTAATTCCTGTTAGTTGGCTACCAGTCAGATAAAAGTTAGCTTTGGGTTTTGCTTGCACCTATTCATAGTCCATAACGAATTGTGCTATCAGACAACATGTACTCAAAATCACACAGTATGAATTCAGAAAGAGAGAGCAGAAGTGGTTCACTTACGATTGGGTGACGTCTTGGCACCATGCCAAAAGTCTTTCATCCTGTCTAGTGAGCCAACGATCTAGAAGAGGGGACCTTGCCGAATGCACTTCCATATCTGGGAGCATGCTGTTCATACTGTTCCTCTTACTCCTCTGACCTATCAATGTGGAAGTAGAAGATCCAACAGAACCTTTCGCTGTTCCACTTGCATGAGTATCTTCCACAGGACCGGTTCCAGATCCTGCAGCAACAGCAAGGATCCAAAGAGCGTCCAGACCCAAAGTTAGCTGATCGAAGGCACTATTTGAACTCTCAAGGTCTTTACGTTGGAAAGTCTCACATGCAAGCTGAATTGACTCTGAGACATCGTGCTAAAACCCAAAAGTCATTAATTTAGTTATTGACATTATTAAAATGTCCTTGACAGCTGGTATGAAGGCAATGACAATCATAGAACTATAAATAAGCCATTATAATTTTTATTTCTCTATGCCAAAGCATACAGAACGAACGTTGATGCTAGAAGATGTATTAATTTTTCACTTATTAAATAATTTAGATCAATCTAACAAATTGAAATTTAGTTAACATCATGCTTTTAAAGTTACTTATTCGTGTAAAATCGACATATATTGGAAACCCGTATTGAAGCCATAAATACAAAAGCAGAAATAAAGACTCTTTCAGACGATATTACTTACAGAAGTGTACCTATACTTACAACACTTCTGCACAAGATGGAAAGATTAATTAATCGCTAAACTCCATTAATTACCAATTACGCCATTCGAAAATCTAGCAGCTTAAGAAGTAAACTGTGGAATGATTGACGCTTATTTTAATTAATTCTAGGCGAAATCACAAATCCGGAAGGCTGAACTTTCATTGCAGTTTCGGCTTTCTGCATTATGGATTTTCTGAAAAAGGTAAATTCGTGTAGCCACTATCTTTGAATAAAAATCTGAAATTTTGTTTTGCACAATGTAAACAATTTTGATACACCAAGTTTTTTTAGTGAAATAAAGGTTTACGTGTGAGAAAAGGCGGTTGCTACTACTATGACTAATGTGAATCTTTTGTTGAGAAAGACAGAAGACCTTAGACATATCTGAGACCATTGATGTAATCTGAACCTGATGAACTCATATGAATACGCACATATTAATTCCCTGAGGGAAATTCCACAAAACCCTAGGATAATCAAGACAAAGAATTTGCAAAAGGGTCTTTTTATTCTATAGAGATACTAGAAGGAACATTTCATTGATTAAACAATTGGAACTAATTGCAGGCTGATATTATTTGAGGATTCATGACCTCTTCTAGTAAGTTAGGTGCTTCTAATAAAAAATTAAAGCACTCCAATCATCATTCAATCCAAACAGGATTTATCCCTCATGATATAATTATCTGGATGGAAATGGCATTCAGGTTGTCCATTAGCCGTTCCAATATACAGGAGCATTATTTAACCATCAAGCAAAGTATGCTGAAACCTCGTTTGACTGAACTGAAGCCCATATTTGCACATATTGTAGGCCTATGGAAAGACGAATTGGAGCTCACTATCTATCGCTCCCTATCGCTTGTGCTGAACTAGGTGAGCATGAGGCAAAGGATTCCCTGTTTCCCCATCTCTTTTTTATGACAACGCTGATTGAAATTGCTTTGAACGATCATATTTAGTCTCTATCTCTCTCAGAATTTGAGTTGATACTTGATTACTACTTAGAATCCTGTAGCAAAAACTCTGTTTTATATTCCACTGTAAACAAACTGATGTCAGGAACTTAAACTCTAGTCAAGGAAATGCCTTATTAAACAATCTTGACCTTGCGGCATAGATGTCCTTAGTAGAAAACCGCTGTATTGATTTTAATTCGAATGGCTTTTGAATCGTGAGCTCACTTTCAAATAAAATTGGTCGATAACTTGTTATTTTAATCTAACATCATTTTGACAGTTTGAAATGGTATTTAGAATTGTCGCTTATATCCACAATGGTTTGCCTCATTATCACATAAATCATGGTCTGCAAAAATAATCGAATTGGTGTTGGGATATCTATCTGAACTGTAATTCGATACTCAGCCAGTCAGTGATGAATTAATGGACAGCAGAATGTAAATCTCAGTCTCTTTTTATATATTTCAATCCTTAGTAAATAGTCAAGACCATATAAACACGCTAGTGGAACTTTGAAAAATCCTCCATGTATGAAATAAGAAAATAAGAAAACGAATGACCGGAATGAGCGATCCGCGTAGAACAAGATTCACATCAGAAAGGCTTCGTGATTTCACCTATGACATTCTTAGGAAAAACCAATTTGAGAAATGTAAAAGCTATGAAAGCGATGGACAAATTTATTTCCCGTGTAACCATTATTACTGACGCAGATACATAACTTACGAGAAAATAAAAACAGGAAAAGCGGTAGGGATGTTTTTATCATTTATCTTGCAAATACTCAGAGGGATAAATATGTACCCTCAAAAACAAAAGCCTTGCTTATCGCTACCGAAATGTCAGTTGAACCTACTACAGAAAACTGGCTAAGTGACTTGGCATTTGCAAATCCAATGGCCAATCCCTGTGGAAGGAAATCGGGATGATTTTTGCACTATACTTCTCGTCAACCTGATGGAGGGAGGGAGGGGGGGGGGGGGGGGGGGGGGGGGGGGTAGGTAAATAATTAATTTCCATCCCATATGAGATTGCGGTAGCTTGGTTACAAATTAACGAAAGTTCACCACCTGCCTCCCATCATTATGTCATGATGATTGCGATGCAATATATATGCAATCGCCCCCCCCCCACAAGGTTGACCTAGAAACTGACCCCACCATAGCCATATGGATGACTAATCGTGAAGCCATGGTAGAAACGGTAGGTATGGTCTTCTAAAATCGAGACCACCAAGTAGGATAACATATAATCTCTTTGCCAGTTGATGATTGTACAATCGATGTTTTCAACGTGATATCGAATTAACAGCCGGGTGGCCTGGATTTATTAAATAAGACCTGGTTGCCGAGACGATGGCTAGCCTTGTCTAATCTTTCTCTGCTTATGAATTAGTGGCCTGGAAGGGTAGTCAAGGTTTCATAAGTGGTCAGTGAGTGTCAACATGGTGCTGTATTATTTCTACGAAATACAATTTTATTCCAATCTCGATCACATTGACTAGACGTCGTGATAACTGGTCCTTCATTTCCCGAAATGAGATTATTGAATTGCACGTCGAATATCAAAATTTTGGGGAGCTACCAAGAAGGAATTCTAAATTTTGTTTCTATGGGAAAATTTCACAAATGGATTCTTCAAAAAAATATAAATAATATTTATGAAACTAGCCTAGACTATTTCTTTCCATTTTATCTAACGAATTTGATAATACGACGAATTGAATACTCCATGTGTATTCCATATTCCACAGTGCAGGACATCCAAAAATTCAAGGGGTAACAGTCTCAGTTTGTATGAATTTACTTAAAAACTTTTAACAATACCAAGTGCATAGTAGAATTTCTAGAAGAATATGGTTAAAGACAAGCAAAATCAGCCAGACGTAGAAAATTGCTTTTCACGCGAAATGTCAAAGTTGACCAGCAATTCAAAAATAGCCTATCACAAAATGATGATGCCATGGTAGGACCTTCAGAATAACTTGCTCAATTGAACATCAATCAATTATTCGCAACGTATACTCTTAAGGCAAAAAAAGTCTATTAAACGGCAATTGACTTCTGACTTCAAACTTCCATGACCCCACTGTATGTCATAGTCGACCTCTTCCACAGTACTCATCTAGCCTTTTCTCTGCCTTTTTGTCTGTCCGTCTAGCTCTTTTACATCTGTGAATCACTCTTCTTTTCCCCTGTCGAATTTTTCTCCCTTTAATGTTCCTAACTTCTGCGAAGCCCGAAGTCAACTAAAGGGCTAATGATAACTAACAAAAGGCCTGTCATTTGAAATAAATAAATTTTTAAAAAAATCAATGAAGATATGAACTAACTTAAATTGAAAAAGCAAATATTTTGCGTCCATGTGGGTAATTTTTAAGCATCAAGAAGAAAACTTAATGTTGATGCACTACATAGAACTCCTGGTACTGTAAAATATGTAGTCAATCAACTCTTTAAATGTTAGTCAAATATATTCCGGTGCATTTCCTTAAATAAGAAACTAAGTAGAACTCTCGTTGAGCTAAAATGTTATTTCATCTAAGAGAGTTTAGTCACAGTTTCATAGAACATGCTTAATAGACAATTTGTCTGAAAAATTATGCGCAGAAATTTTAAATGTCATTAATACAATAAACACGTGTGCGCACTTTACCTCACCAGGAAGACAACTTTTTCTGCACTTCTACTGGTAATATTGAAATGATTGCAAGTCGTAAAATTTGTGGCATTCGAAATTACAGCGCTAGGAAATCTCAATTTGAAATTCAATGCCGTTTTAGAGACTTACATGACAGAAAAGTGATTCAGATCAAAATATAACCCCTCTCGCCGTGCAAAATCAATGCCACTGAAATTTTAAAAGAAGTAGCACAGTTTTAACTGTAGTGGACAGTATATTCTTCACACATTATGTGATAATAAATTTGCTATTAACTGATCAATTGTTACATATTCAATTGCTTCCACAAGAGTAGGTAAAACATATAACAGTGACGTTTATGAAAATGATTTAACCAAATAAACGATAAGAGCGTTAACTCTAAGGCATCTCGTTATTTGAACGAAAAATTCTAGTGAGGAGGCTTGAACTTAGGGTAGGCTTCAAATGTAGAAGTGGTAACATAATGGAGCCAACAGCTGTTTGGGTTGTAGGCAAAAAAGGTATTCTAAATAAGGGTCAATTGTTCGAGGCGCTCATTTTGGACGAACATTTAAACAATAAAAGGTTAAAAATCTCTTCCATCCGGGACCTTGAAAAATGCCTTGAACGTTTGCGTTGTTGAATTGCAGATTTTTTAAGATCTTCAAAACATTTGCGCAAACTGTGCGCGTTAAAGGTTTTTACTACACCTGTTGAAATGAATTACAGGAAAGTAGTTAATTAACTTCACACTTGGTAATTGAATAAATATTGAGCCTATCAAATAGAGTGTGGTAAATAATTATTACAAACAAATTGTTGTTGATTAAGATATTTGTAGAAACAGGATTATTACCATTTCAAGCATTCTCGAAAGCTATATTTTATACTTGGGTTCCACAATTTCAACTTAATGTTCATAGCGACCCTTGTAACAGATAAGTTATCTCAGATGGTTTTACTGCCTGCTTACCACACGAACAAAGAGCACATGATAGTCAACCCAAACCATAATATTATAGGTGTCATATGTGTTGAACCACCAAAAAGCGTCAAGATGTTTATGATCTCATCATTCAATCAGAGAGGCATATTATTTTGCACATAAATTGTGGTATACCCTACTCCCCTCTCAATGAAAGGAGAGCCAATCATAGTCTGGGGAGTCTAGGGGCCTAACAAAAAGCTCAAGTAAGTGGCTTCTACTATGCTCATGCCCTCTTCGATTAACGTTTGAACGCTTGTATGCTATAACCTTGCGAATCTTCTCTCAAAAAACGCCCATTATATATGAGCTTCTTATAGTTTCTCCCAATTCCTAAATTTCATTTTTTGCTTTCCTCTTTCATTTCTTGACGAATTGCAATATTAGCATTTTGTTAGGTTTTTCTCCCGAAAGGGAAAACTTCCTACTTGATTTGCTACATCGTTAGATTCAAAGTCGACGAGTCTTACCCAAACCACTATTCCCGAGTTGACGATTATCAATTGGAAACTTCAGTGATTAGGCAGAAGTGGCCACTGACAGAGAATGGTAAGGGGGCAACTTAACTTTTTTTCCAATTCATACACTTCAAT